TGGGGATAGGACTCTTGTGGTACAACAGTAAATAATTGTTATCAGGGCTGACTGTGAGGGTTGTGAATGTAAAGGTAGATGTTTTGTGGCAAAAGAAGGGAAGTGATTGACTTTGCAGGCAGGAGCAGAGCTCCCTGGGGCCAACAATGGAGAAGAGCAGAGCGGGACCCTACCCAGAGAAACAGTGATGCCAGAGATGCAGGCAGAGATGCTGATGTGGAGAGACAGAGCGGCTCGGGACTCTAGACCCAGAGAGGGAGAGGGGTTGTGTGCTGGCGACTGGGGTGCAGGCTTGCAGGGTATACCCTTTGGTTGGTTGATGCTGTGTGGAGGGGATTGTAATCATGGCAATAAAACGAAATACGACAGTATGAATGGAAAGCTAATGTTCTCCCATGTAATCTATCACATAATTCAAAATAAAACATTTTTTAAAAAGTAATCTATTAAGGGAAATGAAACCATATTACCAAGTATAATATAAAATCCAGTTGCTATCAAGTTGATTGTAATCATGACATTCCCCCCATGTATGTCAGAGTAGAACTGTGATCTACAGCGCTGTCAATGGCTGATTTTTCAAAACTAGATCACCAGATCTTTATTCTGAAGCAACTCTTGGTGAATTTAAACCTACAACCTTTAATTTTGCAGTAGAAGGTATTAACCCTTTGTACCCAAGGACTGCATAAAGGTCCTAATCCTCCTTTGAAAAACAAATAAAAATAAAAATTCAGAGAGGAAATTACATTGAGACAAAGAGGAAAAGGCCAACTTTGTGGACGTTAACATCTGAGTTGATTTTGCAAGACTGCCAAGGTTGGTTCAGGAAGTGATGAAGATAAAAGATTGCTCCAAGTCCTGAGTAAAGATGAGAAATTTTAGATCCTGTACAGGGGCCAGCAGTACATCAGTTTAGCTGGCGTATAGGTGAAAAGGAAACATGAAAACATAAAATAGGTATGCAGAACCAGTCAATGGAGAAATCTTTATTCTGTAGTATGCTAGTTATCACACTCTACTGACTTTCAGCTCCAAATCCACCTTTCTTTGCCATTCTCTGTGACATTTGACTTTTGCAAGCTGACACAATATTAAGTTGGCAGAGTGCTAGAAGAACACTGCAGAAGGAGATTTTCTTCCTAGCTACAGTGTACTCTTGGCGGCTTCCTCCTGTGGAAAATGGCAACCAGTAGTGCTTACTCTTCAGCAATGGTTAGTGGAATGCTGGCGTTTTTCTGAGTTTCCCAGAAAATTCTCTTGGTAGCTCAGCTGGTTCCCCAGCAAGTGGGACAGGTACTTCAGCAGATGGCTTCATTGCAAGTTTTAGCATCAACAGACAGTTTCCTATGTGCCACTGGGGGCTACAGTATCTCAGTGAACTCTGTGTTCCCCAATAGGTCAAAACCCCATCCTGTCCAACCAAACCAAACTCCCTGTCTTCCAGTCCATTCTGATTCATAACAACCTTATATAAGGAAGCCAACTAGGACATCTGTCTCCCACAGAGCAGCAAATGGGCTGCAACCACTTTTGGACAGCAGCTAAGCACTTATACCACTCACTATCAGGACTCCTTTCATCCTCTCCAAGGACAGCTCAATCACAGATTGGAGCACAGGAAAGGCCTCTCCAAAAGTGAGTCCTTCCTGGGGTACACTGCCTAGCCTAGGGGTAGTCACTGCTTCCTTAATCTGCCATTACTGTGTTCTTTTGTGCACTCTTTACTTTGAAGTGACTAATTACTGGACTCCTAATGTGGCGCTGTGGATCAGCACTACACTGAGAACCACAAAAGGTTAGCAGTTCAAATCTACAAGCTGCTCCTTGGAAACCCTATACAGTCAGAACTGACTCAATGGCATTTATCAACAACAAACAACAACAAACTGCTGGTTAAATAGTTGCTGGTATTGTCATTGGATGCCATCGAGTATACAGAGTTTCCAAGGAGTGGCTAGTGGGTTTCAACCACCAACCTTGATGTTAGCAGTCCAGTGTTTATCCTATAGCGCCACACCAGTTTATATTAAATTTCTATGTCAAGTTACTGTGCACTTACTGTCACCTGACTGGACTTTGAGAATTAAATAATTGTACTGCTAAAAGACTGCAGAAAACATCTAAATCAAACTCTGAATTTTAGAAAATTAATTGCCTAAAGTTCCAAAATCAGTTACCTAAAGCTGTGGGGAAGTGACTTATGTGTGTTTGGGAGGCTGGGGACTGAATCCCTCCTGACACTTTATGACCAATCACGAAAGAAGAATGAACTTAGGACAAAAGAAACTAACTGCTCTTAAATTTTCCTACAAATTTATGTTAAGTTTTGAAAGACTGATTTAAAAATTTACAACTAGAAAAGATGGTGCTAGAGGCCCTGGAAGACCATTCTTTCACAGCTTTATTTCTAACTGAAGAGAACACAATATCTAGTTACAGGAGAACCGTGTGGCACAAGAAGACCTAGTCCAATCCAGGCAGCTGGGGACTGCGGGGGTAAGCATTTTAGATATCCATGTGATCACAAGGAGTTTAACTGTTCTGATTGGCTATGTGTACCAAATATTATTCATCTGCTTCCACACTGCCCAGTGGTTCTGCTTCCACTCCCATTTCTCTTCCTCAAGTGGCTACTTGGGTTTAGAAAGCATATTCACTTACACTTCCAGAAGTTGGAGACAGGAAATGAACACAGCGGCTGTGAAGGATGTGTGGTTGCAGATTTTACCTAAGAGTGGGAGTTGCTGGATCTTTCTCATAGGACACTCTACAGAGATTTGTTGTTGTTGTAAAGTGCTGTTAAATTGGTTCCTACTCATAGCAATCCTGTATAGGGTGTTCAAGGAGCAGCTGGTTAAGTTTTAACTGCTAGCCTTGCAGTCCAGCACATTAATCTACAGTGCCATACCAAGACTTCAATCTCTGTGGGAGCAGAAAGCCTCATCTTTCTCTCACAGAGTGGCTGGCAGGCTCAAACCACGGACTTTGTGGTTCATAGTCTAGTGCTTATCCTACAGAGCCACCATATGTTCATGTGGCCTCAGTAGAATAGCAAAAGAATGGCCTGAAGAGAGTTTAGAGAGCACTCATCCAGGGTCACTGGTTCGGAGAGCAGTCAAAAGGTGACAAACACCCATTGAAGAACCAGGCCTACATACAGGGAATGAGATTTGAATAAATAAGCTAGGAAAAGCAGGGTGGGGGATGTATGGCTAACTACCACATGACCTAGCGATTACAATTCTAGGTATATAACCAGAAGATCTGAAAGCACAAATACAAACCGTAAACCTGTTTGCTGCAGCACTTTTTACATTAATCATAAGGTAAAAACAACTCAAACGCCCAACAATAAATGAAGAGATAAACAAATACATACACACAACAGAATACTACCCAACCAGAGAGAAACAAAGACCTACTGTGTGTCACAACACGGATGAACCTTGAAAACATCAAGCAGAGTGAAATAAGTCTGTTGCAAAATGATAAATATGTATAATCTCATTTTTATGAAATAAGAAAATATATAGAGTGGGAAAGTGTGTGCTTAGGTGGGCACTGATCTTTGTTGATGATTGTTGAATAATTTGGGAAAACACAGCAAGAAGGGTTGTACAACATAAAGATTATAATTAATTATCACTGAATTATACATGTAGAATTTGTTGAATTGACAAATGTTTTCTTGTACATACTTTCATCATAATAGAAAACATTTTAAATGAAAAAAGAATTGATAGCTAATGAGTCATTTGCCATTAACACTGTAGTAATTCAAGGTAAAATAAACATCCTGAACAGTTACTCTTAAACAGGAATTAAAGTATACAACCAATTTATATCAAGTGAATACATCTCTTTCTTAATCTTTGATTTCGTTTATAGTGTCTTGAATGAGTAAAAAGAAACACCAATCATTCCTTCTGGACGGCAGCAGTGCTTCAGTGGTGGAACTCTTGCCTCCATGCAGGAGACATAGGTTCAATTACTGGCCAGTGTAGCTGTCTGTCAGTAAAGACTTGCATGCTGTCATGCTGCACAACAAGTTCCAGCACAGTTTCCAGATTAATGAGGAGTAGGAAGGCCCCCTAGGAGCTCTGGTGGTACAGTAAAGTAAGAACAGGACTGCTCATCACAAGGTTAGCAGGTAAAACCACTTGTAGCTCATCAGCAGGAGAAGAATAAGGCTGTCCCTCTGTAAAGATTTACAGCCTCAGAAATGCTATACAGGGGTGCCATGCGTTGAAATTGCCTCCATGGCAGAGGGTTTTGGTAGGAAGGCCCAGTGATCTATTTCTGAAAACTTTGTGGATCACAATAGTTCATTCCCCAGCTAATCATGGGCATGGAACAGGACCAGACAGCATGTCGTTCCACTGCGTACAGGGCTTAGTATGAGTTAGCATGATAGCAGCTAACAATAATAATTATCCTGTCAGTACTTAGATTCATACAAATGGAGAGCATCAGCTATAACAATGAGAACTGAGCAGTGGAGAAGGCAAGTGGGGCAGGTTCTCTAACCAAGTAAATCCAACCATCAAAATTATTCATCAATGAATAGAATCAAGTTAACAAAAAGGAACTTGTGTAAAAAACAATTAGTAAAAATTTACTGAATTTTTTAATGGTTCTAGCAGTACTACAAACTTGAAATAAGCAATTCTATCTGAACCACTAAATCCAAGATATATTTGGTATTAAATGTTAAGAGTCAGAATAAAATTATATAATGTTTTAACCAAGAAAAACTGAACAAGATTTGTTACTAATTTAATTCTTTAATAGTAAATACTAAAGAAATTAACTTTTCTTCTCATTTGCTGCTGTTTTTGTTAGCTGCCCTTTGAGTTAGACCTCAACTCATGGCAACCACATGTACAATGGAATGAAGTGCTGTTAAGTCCTGTACTATCCCCATGACTGGTTGTAAATTACACCACTGTAATCCATAAGGTTTTCAACGGCTGATTTTTGGAAGTGTATCATCAGACCTTCTTTGTCTTAGTATGTATGGAAATCCCATTGAAATGGTCAAATACCATAGTAAAAGTACCTACCTAATTATAAATAAATGCTACAATCTACAAGTCTCAACTCTTTCCCTTTGTTTTCATCATCCTCTTTTTTGTTTTTTAAGTGTTCCTGTCGCCTCCAAAGGTTACTTCAAGCCTTTTTGTCTCATCTGCTCCAAACAGAACTAAGCTACTTTAAGGAAAACTCCAAATTGCTTCTGCTATTTATTAGCTACTAAATACATCAGAACTGGTTCTTGTATTTCCTCTGGCCATCTCTCCTTTTACCCGAAACATCAAAATCTGTACATTCTTTTTCACTAAGACTTCCATGGGAAACTCTAAACCATCCTCACCCAATCCCCAGTTGATTCTGACTCCTAGAGACCCTGTATAGTGTTTCCAAGAGCAGACTGCCTCATCCTTCTCCCACAAACTTTCCTTAAAGAAGATGCATTTACGTGTTAGTTGTAAGATTACTGTCAGGTAGAAAACTGGAGAAAACGTATTCTCCATTTCCAAAATGCTGCTATGCTTTACACAGGTATAGCAGGACATTTAATTCAAATGTGTTAATACTACTCATTAAAAGAATACATGTTTCTAATTAATTTATTCAGAGTTCCACCCTTAGGGGAAATGACTTTCAATCTAACAATTTAACTTTTTAAAGAGATTAGTATCTGAATCTTTGTCAATCATTTCTTTTTTAGTATATTTAAAAATCAAACAAAATATGTTGTTGTTGTCAAGTGCCATCAAGTCAATTCCGACTCACAGCAACCCTATATGGATCTCTAAGAGTGACTGGTGAGTTTGAACCGCCAACCTTGTGATTCAAAACAGCCTTGCAGTCCAGTGCTTTATCTCACAGCGCCACACCAGGACTTGAAGTATGGATCACAATGAATCAAGATTCTTCAAAATATGGGAGCATATGAGAAAATACACAGAGGAAGATCTGAAAACCATGTAATGAGGTTTGAGGAATGAAAACCCAACAGTGAGATGCAGCACACCTTGAAGAGGTATAGTATGTGTTTCACCATTCACCTCTCTAAAAACACTAAAGATTATAAGCTTACCATTTGATGCATCACTGTAACAAGAGAATAAACTACAACAATATTTAATATGAGCTTCCAACCATAAAGATCTTCATATATTTATTAATAAGAAGATTCCATTGCCTGCTTTCTGTCAAGCACTACACAGAATAGAAATTTTGGATGAAAGAGCAAATAAAGTCACTGTCCTCATGAACTAAATTAATGTAAGTGGTGGTGGTGGTGGCTATAATGCTGGATAGGGTTTCCGAGGCTGTAAATCTTTAAGGGAGCAAAAAGCCTCATCTTTCTCCAGTAGAGTGGCTAGTAGATTTGAACTGCTGACCTTGCAGTTAGCAGCACAACTCGTAACCCACTATGCCACCACAGCTCCTTATGTAAGCTACAGGAAAGCTAAGTGATTTTTTTAAATATCAAAAACATCATTTCGAACACCTAAAATGGGGCTACAACGTACCCAGTGAAGGAGGCTCCCTGCAGAGCCTCCTCTGTACTACATAAGACTATAGGTAGTAGCCTGAACCATATCCAGATCTCCAGAGATGGGAAATTTCCACTTGAAAGGACCAGTAGACCAGCCTGGAAGGACTAGAAGAATAGAAGAAACTTCTTGAAAGAAAGACCTACAGGAAAAATATAAAACAATAAAGGCAGACAGACTGTTACTACAAGAACAAACAAGTTGCTTGCTCAGGAAACATCAAGGCAAGTGATCGGGTCCCCTCAAAGGCAAGTGATCGGGTCCCTTCGAAGACTAAGACTCAATGGGAATACACGCTCTGATTGGTGACCACGCTTGTCACCGATAAGGGGAAGTTAGGGAAAAACAACAATGAAGTGGCGAGCTAAGCCCTACAATATGGAGAGTGAAGCGTTCAGCTGATAAAAAGAGAGGACATAGGCATTAGAACACCCACACTTGCAGATAATACCCACTTGACTTGGCTTCAATGACTGGATGATCAGAGCTCAACCAGAAGAAGAAAGAAGAGGAAAATAAGAGTAACCTGATGCAATTTGATGAACCTGACCTACACCTATGGAAACAGTAGGTCAAAAGAGGGAACAAATTCTTACAGCAAGAATCATTCCCACACCCTCCACACACAGAGTAGACAGGAATGGGCAACTTGGAGCTACCCAAAATGGGGGGCGCGGGGCTACAAAGGTAAGAAGTGACTGGCTTACAAGCTTTCAATAGGGAATCTAGAGACAGGGGGCCTGAAGGAAGGCAGAATCTCCAGGGAGTAGCATCCAATCTGCCTAGGCGGAGTTGATGAAATGAAATGCAGATGGGT